AATGTAGGATAAGCACTGAATTACTAACTATAAGGTGGGAAGGTGGGCAGTTGAAACCCACCAGCCACTCTTAGGGAGAAAGATGAGTCTTTCTACGCCCACAAAGTTTTACAGCCTCGAAAATCCTATACAGGGTGGCTGTGAATCAAAATCATTTCCATGGCAGTGGTTTTGGTTGCATTTGGTATATATTCCTCTAAGGGGAAAGAAAGACCTCCAAATTTAAACATATTCTATTATTTTCAAGTGCCACTGAGTCAGTTCTGACTCAACTTGATCCTTTATAGAGTTTCCAAGGAATGACTGGTTGATTTGAACCACGGACCTTGAGGTTAGCATTCCAGTGTTTATCCCACATCACCACATCAGGACTCCAAACATATTCTATACAAACCCATTTGTTAAGCTTTACACAGGACAATGACAAGACAAAGACAATGAATGACCTGGATGAGGGAAACCATCAGCATGATGCCAAAATGAAATCATAACTGTGGGACTAATTATAGATGAAGGAAAACAAAGGAAACCATTGCAAAATCATGATGAATTCATCACCATCACAGGCAGGCCTAGAAAAACAGGGAGTGGGGCATGGGGGAGTAGGTGGGGAGAAAGGACTATGATTGGGATGCTTACACAGTTACAGAGGCCCAGAATCATGACCCCAACTTTCAGATAAAAGTTGGCTATTTTTGGTAAATCATTAAGGATCTGTCCAGGCAAATTCCTTGATTCTCCATGCTAGCCTGAGGGCAAATTGCCCCTCACTTAGTTTGTAGGGAGTTGTAATACACACACTATCCAAGGGCAAAACTGCCATATTGCTGGTTATTATTCAGAAAGAATTTAAATGGAGTCTGACCTTATGTCAAGACTCAAAATGTAGAGCTCCCACTGTAGACACTGCAGTCTTCTACAGACAAAGTACATTGGAATTTAAGCTCTAATACAATATACTCCTATATGGTGTAAACAAGTATTTTACAAAAGAAAAAACCTAAGAGACTAAAAAAACAAAGGAAAAGATGATCTACGAGGAGAATTTTAAAAGTTTGTGGTAAAATGCCATTATCTTCTAATTCCATTTTTCCCCCAACTCCTAACTCCCTTGTACATCTCCAGGAACCAGAAAAAATGAAAATTATAAGAAAAATTTGGTGTCATTGAATATATATTTTACATTCGAGCTACAGCTACTTAAAATGTCCAATGTCACCATGTGCAGAAAATTGCAATAACAGAAATCCTCATATGCTACTGATGGTAAAGTAATTATTTTCTAGAAATCAATGGCCCAAATTCAGGGGAGATGGCTTTCTCCCCATTGAGACAAAAATAACAGGTTATTTTTAATAATTCAGTAAGTGACATTCCATAATTACAAGATATTGACATCAATCAGGAAGTCTTACCTTTCACTGAAAAAATTTTCCTACAAAAACAGATGTTTTGCTTGTTACTGCAGATAACATTGTTCTTATAAAAACTGATATTTCAGCCCTTTCTTAATATAAGTTCCTCTTCTTTAGGTACTTTATACCTGTAATTGTGAGTAGTTGAGTAGTTGGGATTTCAGTTCTAAAATCAAATCACCTGACTCATAATTTTTCTGTAACATAAACATAAAGTACCATTAAACAGCATGGTTACATATAATTTATAATAATATACAAGTCAGAAGAAAATATAATTAGGTTCTAAAACAAAATAAGTTTTGGACCTGTTATCTATCTGCAAAATTATTCAGCCTTTCAAAGCTGATATGAAGGTAGTAATTTTG